TTTATTTATTTTATTTATTTTATTTATTTTATTTATTTTATTTATTTTATTTATTTTATTTATTTTATTTATTTTATTTATTTTATTTATTTTATCTATTTTATCTACTTAAATATACTACTAGTCTTGATTATCTAATATATAATATATAACTTATCTAATTTTATAATTTATTCTTAATTCTGTTATAGCTCTTTAAGTTATATCTTACTTATAAATCTAAAAATAACCTAATTTAAGTAGCTAGCTAAGAATTAAGAGAACTGTTGTTAAGATCTGCTAGCCTGAACTGCTATATCTACTATTCCCACCAGTCCATATCTTAACATAATTACTAATCTAGTAATAATAATTAAAAGATGTTATCATATTTATAAATAAGATAAGAAGTATTATATTATATGTGTTGAAAAAAATTAGAATAGTTCTATAAATAAGTATATAATTAATTTAACTATACTAATTATTCTATTTAATTTTAAGTAAAAGAATATAATTAGAATATATGCAATAATAATATTTATTATATTAATTATGATATAATATACATAATAAGTATATTAATAATATATATAGTATAAGTACTAGTAATAATATATTAAAAATACTAAAATTAAAATCATTTTTATATAGATGAACATTTTATTTTATATAATAATTATAATAATTTCCTATATTAAACAGAAAATTCTATAGATTTTTATTCTATAATATCTTATTATTAAAATATTTTTTTTTTTAAAATTACTAATTTCTCTAAGATATTATTTATAGATTTTATTAGATTAACCATTATAAAAAGACGAAAGATAATTTTTTAAATAAGTTATTATATATATAATATATTATTATTAATACTAGTTAATTTATAATAATTATAAATACTAATTATATAAACTTTTTACAATTAGAATATAATTCATAAAAATACTATTAGATATATCTAATATCAAATTTCAAATACCAACAAAATAAATTTATAATATTTAACATATTCTTTTTTAGTAATCTTAAAAAGATTATTTAATTTAATCTTATAACTATTTTTTGTATATAAATATTATTATTAAAGTATATTTAAATTAAAAATATTATAATCAGATATAAAGACATTATTATTAATTATATATATTAAATAATTACTATTTAAGTATACTAAGATTTTATTCTTTTTATATAAATTTATATACAGTCTGACTATTTTAATGTACTTATTTTTATAATTACTAGGTCCTGTTTACCCTCAGCTGACCTCTTTAAGTTAAAGGGCTGAGTACAACAGAGGCATGTAACACACAAATTAGAGAAGTAATTTTTTGATTATCTTTCTAAGTACTCCTTAACAAGCAACTAAGCAGGTAACTAAATAACTAACTAAGTAAATAAGTAAAATAGTAAGTCCTCTTACCAAGTATCTCTCCCCAAGCAAGCAAGTAAGTAAGCGAGCGAGTGAGGTAGTGAGGTCATTTACCAAGCACCTCCCCCCAAGTAAGCAAGCGAGCAATCGAGTTCTTCTCACTAAGCACCTTTTATTAAGTACTCCTACTAAGTAAGTAAGCAAGTAAGCAAGCAAGTGAGGCAGCAAGGTCTCTTACTATCTCCCACTAAGCATCTTCCACCAAGCACCTTCTACTAAGTAAGTAAGTAAGTAAGCGAGGCAGTAGGGCCTCTTATTAAGTATCTTCTACCAAGCATCTTCTACTAAGCATCTTCCACCAAGTAAGTAAGTAAGCAAGCCAGCGAGCGAGGCAGTAAGGCCTCTCACCAAGTACCTCCCACCAAGCACCTTCTACTAAGTAAACAAGTAAGCAAGCAAGCAAGCGAGGCAGCGAGGCCTCTTACCAAGTACCCCCTACCAAGCGCCTCCGATCAAGCAAGCAAGTGAGCAAGTAAGCAAGTCAATAAGCGTGCGAGCAAGCGAGGCAGCAAGGCCTCTCACCGAGCACCTCCCACCAAGTAAGCGAGCAAGCAAGCAAGCAAGTAAGCAAGCAAATAAGCGAGTGAGCAAGCAAGGCAGCGAGGCATCTCACCAAGCACCTCCCACCAAGCAAGTAAATAAGTAAGATTAAGTATAAAAATAAAAATAAAAATAATACACAATAAATTAATAATAAAGCAAAATTAAATAAATTAAAGATCTAGTATTTAATAGAAAGTAATATATCTAAATTAATAAATATATTGAAATTCTTTATATTAAATAATTAATTTATTATATATTTTAATTTTTAAGTATTATACTAGACTCTTATAACTAATAATAATAATCTAGAATATTTTATTAATCTTTATTTTAATAAATATAAAAATATTGATATTATAAAAGTAAATAAAAAGTTTATTTAAAAATAATAGATAATTATAAATAATATAGAATATAAGTTCAAATAATTTAGGTTATATAAGAATTAAAATATAATTATATTTCTATTTATTTTAATTTTGAAAATATTTAAGATAATAAAATTAATTAATTATATTTAATTTATATTTTTTATAATTAGTAATATCTTCTAATATATTATTATAATTTATAATAAAATAAATTATTTTAATTAAAAACTAGATTTTATTTACTATACTTATTATAAAAAATATATATAAGATTTGATTAAATATTTATAGATAAATCTAAAATTAATGTCTTTAAATTACTATAATCTTATATTTATTATAATTTTAGATTATTTTATAAATAATATTATATTAGAGTTTTTATAAATTAAAAATATATAAAATATAGAATACTTTATTATTTCATATTATTATACTCTAATAATATATTTATGAATAGAAATATTAAATATTAATTAATATTTTTTTAATAAGTCTATATATAATAATACTTTTTAGAATATTATATTATTATAGAATAATAGTCCAGCTAAAAATATTACATTATTGTAAATAATATATCTTAAAAAACTATTTTAGTTGTTTAGTAAACTATAATATTATTTATTAAAAAAATAAAAGTTACTATTTAAGATACCTAAGATCAAAAACTAGTATAGTAAAAATAATAATAATAAAATATTTAATTAATAATT